CATAGGAATTTTGGCATCGTCAATAAGATCGCTACCGAATGATTGCCCCTATACCCCGTCCTAGCCACTACTCCGATACGGAACACCCCCACATCCTTCACTGTTTCACAGTCCCCTTCAGGGATCGGCAAGAAGCTAGACATTCACAACTTCGAAACAAATAGCTGAAGAAAGCGGTATAAGGTTGTTCGGGGATCGCAAAGTCCTGCAACTCCTCGAGCAAACCATTCTAGAAAAGCCAAAACAAATCAAGCGCCTTTGCGGCCGATTAGTGTTAAATGCAGTTGGCACACGATAATTTGGTTTCTGTTCTAAAATGGTAGCAGGTAGTAGTGCGAAAGTGGCGAATAAGCGAAGTGAAACGGTCAAAAACCTGCAAAAAAGTCATTGTTCTACGTAGACTCAGGAAAGCAATTTCGGACGAGTTCCCCGTTGGCATCGTGCCAATAACCGCTACGGTAGATACGGGTGCATCAATCCCTTCGCCTATATTTTACTTCGCAAATGAAGCGATACGAGCATCAGGATCGGTCGGACATTTGTGGGCGGGCGGGCGCGGTGGGCGTTCGGGCAGCTTGATAGGGCCTTACAAAAGTACCTTTTTTGGAAAAGGTGCTGCGCAGCGCCTGCTCAAGGACGCGGAATTCAGTCGTGCGACATAATAGTCCTGATCGTGTTATTGTTTTGTCGTGCCAACTGCCTTTAAGTGTCCTTGAATGTTCTAACAATCGGATTATCAAAGAGCAACGGTTTACAAGGAGAAAGGCAGGAACATACAGCCGGGAATTCCGTTATCAAAGTCGCGGGAATTTCCCCCTATCAAATGTTTCTTGAACAGTTTTCTTTTGGGTCAGATACAATTGGTAATTATATTGTGTTTAGCCAGTAATCCATAGGATTATCCAAGACCCAAAAGAGATAAAATAGCGCAGTTTGGCTAGGGGAAGGGAGGGGAATGAGCAATTTTAGTGCTTTTTTCATATCCGTATCGAGCTTCCAAGTAAAGATTTGAAATCTTGTGGAGCTATGGAGTAATACCAGTCAAAATTTGTAGAAACTAATTGTCAGCTCTTGTGAAGAATATCTGTCAGATCTTGTAAAGCAATGAAACGGAACAATTCATAGACGGGAAGCAGGCGAAGAGTGGCAAAAGCCCGGAGCTCCCTAAGCCGAACGGTACGCCAATAGAACCTTATTTCTCATTTAGCCTTATACTGATAACATAGCTCCTCCGGTTCTTGCTGTATCGTACGAGGAATGTCCCGTTCGGTGTTCCTCGCAATTTCGCTTCAGATTCCGATCGTTCCAAATCGCCCATATACCATGGCTGAAGGCTAACTTCCGTGTTCACATAGTCCTGCTGAGGAGTTGGCGTCATACTGGAATTGATAACGTTTTTTTCGATAAATCATGTCCACACTATTGGGTTACTGATAATCTACAAGTCAGATATTACAAGTAAACAATAATGACTGATAAAAAGGTAAACAAAGTGCAATTGCGATGTTCAAGGTTTAAAGCAGCCTTGGAGTAATGTAGCAGGTAACTGGGACGATTAGCGTTTGACGTCAAAACTGCCTAAAATACATCCGAAATAGTAGGAACCTCAGATGGTGAGAACCACTTTCTAGAGCGGCCATGAGAAAGCACGTGCGAAGTAACTGAAACTGGGAGAAAAGAGGGAGAAAGCTACCTTAAACACTCACGACTGTTGCGTTTTAAAAAGCAAAAAAAGCATCGTGGAAAAACGATTGGACACCGGAAGTGCTGCAAGAACTGGAAGGCCGAACCAAGAACCAACCACTATCAGCAGAACGACGTCGGTTTAAAGACAACCACGCGATGGCAAAACCTATGACCACTAAGTGCTCGGGGAAGAAAAAGAAAAAAGAAATTCATGGAGAACACACTACAAGAAGAACTGGCAGCCTTTCTGAACGAGTTTCAGCCCGGGAGAAGTGCGGAGGCGTCAGAACTGCCACTTAAAGGGGCCATAGCTTCTTCTCACTTCCTGTGAAACCGTGAAAGTAGGACATCTCAGAGACTGCGGGCCAGACTACCATAGTTCAAGTTCTCAAGTTCCAACTCCCTCCGCTCCGATCATCTACCAGAAAAGTAGTATTGAGTCGCCGTAAAGGCCGGTGTCGTTGACGAGGGTGTTGCACTCTACATCGGACACAAAAGAATTGGTCGTAATTGCGAACGTCAGTAAAATCAGTGAGCAGTGGCCTCAGGAAGAAATGGTGGTTTCTGCCAAAATGAAATGATCGCTCGTTTGTATTTGAAACCTATAGGCACTCAACTTATAGAACTGAAGCTTTAATGAAGTGGGGTTATACTACGAAAGAGCAGAAATCTACAGTACCGCTGTCAAGACAGAAATGATTGTTCCCAGGCCAACTTTGGAGGCGTCAGAACTGCCACTCTTGAGGGCCTTCCGCGACGAGGGGGGGGGGGGCATTTTGCACTTCCGTTGCTTCACTACTTCCGGTTT